AATTAATGAAAATTTAAAATGTAAAACATGTTTTATTAACAACATTTTATTGCAAAATTACTCATATACAAAAGTTATTGAATACTAATGAAAAAATACCAACATTTAATTAAAAATCCAAAAAATTCTGAAAAACCTAAAAATAATTAAAAATTATTGAAAAGTAACAATATTTTGTATTAATAAGGGTATTTACTAAAAATAATTAAAAAGTACAATTAATAGTATTTTATTATTAAAAAATACCCAGCCCATAAATTATTGAAAAATATTTAAAATTAGCTGTATTTTTTATTAAGTATGGTATTTATTTAGTTATTTAATTTATTTTTACTGAAAGCAAATGCCAATTAATTTTGTAGTGACTAATATGTAAAAATAAATGCTAAAAATACTGAAAATTATTGAAAAATACTCATATACAAAAATTACTAAATAATAATAAAAAACACCAAAAATTAATTAAAAATCCGAAAATTCTGAAAAACCTAAAGCTTTATTAAATACTGAAAATAATAAAAAATAAATTAATTGTATTTTATTGCAAAAAATACTGAATAACAATGAAAAAAATGCATTTTAATTATTAATTGTAATATAATTAACAATAATTATAATTTAAGCTATAAATAGTAGAAATTACATTTAATTACCAACAAGTTATATTTAATTACTAGAAAATTAATATTTAATTAGTTTTAGCCAAGAAATTAGCAATCTTTTTTTAGAATATGGTAATTTCTAGAAATTACTATATTTAAAATAAATATAGTAAATATAATAATTACTATATTTAATAGCTAACAATATTTTAATAATTAATAAAAACTAACAAATCATTTATAACTTGAGTCCGGCTTCCGTCGGGGCAAAGCCCGTTCCAACAAGCTTTATAGCCTTACATTGGGAATATCTCCATAATTATGTGATTTATTTCAGGGGAAATATTCCCAATGCATGGTTACAAGGGGCTGCTCAAACAGTGCAAGCACTGAGTTGCCCTGGCAGAAGCCGAATTCTTATAACTTAAGCAACTACTAAATCTATAAATTTGTAGGCTCAAGCAACTATTTTCTTTTGAATTAGGTCTAGCTGAGATATGCACCATGTCCACACATTATCAGGGATAATCATATTCAAAGTCTAATTGGGTATCAAACTTTTGGAGTCCAGTGATGGCTTTAGTGGATAGGGCCCAAGCTAAATAACCCCCTAATAAGCTCAACTCGGAATTTATACGCATATATGGTAAATATTATTATATAATATTTAAATAACAAATTATATATATATATATAGAAATGTTATATATTTTTTTAATACTAGACTAGAATTAAATAAAAATTTTAATTTGTAAAACTCATAATTTTATAATTAACACGGGCCTCTTAATCAACAGAAAATGTGCAAGCCCGCTCCCGAGCCTAACCTGACCATCGGGCCTAGATCTTGAGCCCAAGCCCAACCCTTATATAAAGCTTGAAGCTTGAGCTCGAGCCCGAAGCCCAATCTATACACAAAATTTCTTATTTTTAGTATACTTTTATAAAGTAATACTAGCGGGAACCTGTGCGCACGGGATTTATTAAGAGAAAGCTAAATAATAAAAAGGGTCATACATTAAAATACCCCTTATAGTTTCATGGATTTACTAAAATCTACCTTATAGTTAGCATTTTACTAAAACACCACTTATAATTTGCAATGGATTTAATCAATCTTTCATTAGATGACAGTGGAAAATGACAGTGTTGACCCTAATATTCATTTAAATAAATTTAATCAAAAGAAAATAAAAATAAAAATTTTAATAAGACATGGGCAACCACTCTATTGGCTACATTTGTTCAATTTTGTTTTTTATATAAAAAAATGTTAGGGATATTTTCGGAATAAAAAATCATGGGCCTAAGGGTAAAACAAACACTCCTTAATGAAATCGTGGGCCTAAGGCCCCGATCTCGACTCTGAAATTAACCTCCACCCTCGATTCCTAACGGGGATGGGTTCCCTGTGGGGACCCGAATCCTTAAAATGTTTTCAAATAATAGTATTTTTTTAAATAAATAAAAAATTTAAATTATAAATAATGTTTTAAATATGTTTTGATATATATATAATATAAATAATATAATAATATATTTAATATAAATAACATTTAATACACACACAGATATATATATATATATATAATCGGGGTCGGGGTGGGGTGGGGGACCTCAATCCCCATCCCCAGCCCCATTGGGTCAAGGAAGTCAGGTCCCCGTCGAGGATGGGAAATTTTCATCCCTAAAAGTGTATTCTAATAAATGACCTTAATAGAAACACATAAGAGTATACAATTGTCTTATATTTTCAACTTTTTAAATAATTAATAATTATTCATATTTTATATACTACTTTTAATAAATTTTTTATAATACAAAAATAACAATAATTAATTTCACTTAGGTTTATTTATCAAACTGATGAAACCAACCAACCCAATTAACTCGACCCAAGTTGGTCGGTTTTCTAGTATTTTAGATTGGCTTTGGTTA